AGTAGGTTAGGCCCACATGCAAGTCATGATCTACTACGATCCAAACAGTAATCCGATACGCAGATACATCCTAGAAAGACTCATTAATATCTAGAGTAGTCCATATATGTATGTATAGTACACACTATAGGACGCTCGCTAGTCCAGTAGGTCTGTCTCAGCCTGAATAGAAGGCAACATGCAAATACGCACCCTAAGGTGGGCATGAGTACCTAGACCTACCAGGGAACAACACCTATGTCCAGTTATCCATCCTAGGTGATATACGCGCCCTAACCATGGTCCTGAGACTCAAGCTCATACCATGGCACATAAAATATATATATAAAGTCCGTACTCCCAATACAAAATATCAGCCATCTTTGTAGTGGTCTGATGTATGTAAACACTCCATCTTGAAACCGTAGTAAGTCTTTCAATTCACAATTGATATGACACATGCAGATGATGGACTTAACCTTTATGGTTAATCCATACCTTAATCCAATTTAGGTAGGTCTTAGTATTTTGAGTTAAGCCATCCCCAATATGACACCGTCCCATACCGGTTCATATATATACGTCCATATAAGTAGGACTTAACCTTTTTTTTTTTTTGGTTTATCTAACTCATTCCAAATTAGGTAGAATTTAATGTTTGAAATAATTCATACCTAGTATGTCACCGTCCCATACCGGTACATACAATCCTCCAGTTAACATAGTTGACCATACAATATTAAGTAGTCATCAACCACACTCCAGAATATCCATAAGATAAATTTAATGCATATACATAAATATTAGGCATTCATTACGGGTCTAAAATCTAATTCCAATAATGTAAAGTGCTACAATAAATTCAAGCATTCACATACTCCACCATAGTCCACGAATTGATATAGTGAATAAATATTTTAAGTATCAATTTCACCCAAGCCAAGCATAGATAAATTTAGTTAATTCACTATACTTACAATACTATGGACATATGATTTATTATATATATTCAAATCATAATTAACAACCTTGTTATGCTCCAATATCTAAAACTAGCAAATCCTCCAACATAACATAGCTATTAAAACAACACTATATAATTAATTGTCATCCTCAAAACTATGCACCAATATGAATTCATACATATATATCAACATTAGGTATTCACTTCAGAACCTAATTATTATACTCCAATAATTTAAATAGCTAAAATATTTCATAGTATTTAAATTCTACATACAGTGCATAAACTGATACCTTTTAACAGCCTTTAAGTACCAAATTCATTCCAAACCACTCATAGTTGAACTTACAGATAATTCACTACGTTCATTACATGGTGGAAAATATGATTAAATATAATTAACTCATATACCAACAATTTGCTAAGTTCCGGTAATTAAATTCCTTAGCCAAACAATGCAACATATGGACGTTTCTTTGAGCTATTAATTACTCCTTTCCTTAATCCATTATTGTACTAAAGGTTTTCAATATTTAATTAAGTCCCTAAAATTTAATTACACCTTACCATAGCATTTAAACAGTTTTAGAAAACACTGCACAGCCCAAACAGCCCCTAAAGCTCATTACTGTGCGATGCAAGAAAGAGCAAGCTCAACAAAAACATTGAGCCTGCTCCACTTTTGACTTAGAGCCGGCTCCTTCAACATTGAGCCAGCTCCAAGTCCCTAATAGAGCCGGCTCCATCATCTTTGAGCCGGCTCTAAGGTAATTTTAGAGCCTGCTCCTTCTCCTTTGCAGCCGTTGCCCGTTCAAGCTTCGTCTTCTCCAACTCCGGTGATTACAGAGCCTCTGTGGTATGTTCTAATTCTTATTCTAGGTTCAATCTTAGTCCTAAATAAGTTCAAACCACTAAGATCCAATCCTAACATGTGTAGGAACACAAGTATTAAAGCAACAATTACAACACCTCTGTTAACCAATTTTAAGCAAGCTGCGACAGATTTAATTCAGATTAATTTGATGCAATTAAATACTGTTCTAAGCACCTATTCTAGAGTTCAAACTCAGTCTTAGATTAATTACTAGGCAACCATATGAATTGTTGATCTCAATTAAACAAGAAAATAAACATGTTACAAGAGAAACCAACTAACAGAAACCTAAAGAATTTTGGTGTAATAGTTCCATGCAACGAAGTTAATTATCAGTTTAAACATGCATAATAGACCTGGAGTCTTCCTAAGCATGCACAAACACGAATTAATGGGAAAGAATAGAACAGAACTTGCCTGCAATTTTAGAGTTTGAAACTGTAAACCACCGTCTCTGAGGTTTTCTGACCACCTTCTAAACTGTCGTTCCATGCCTCTGCTACTCTTGGTTAAACCCAGAAGCAACCCCGTTCCTTTCCCCTTGGACCTCTCTATTAAACTCTCAATGTTTACTCTCTGTTTTTCCTAAAATTCCTCTCTATTGCACTCTGTATTTTCTCTTTGTTTCTTAGGTACGTGAGAAGAACCTTGTGTATTCTCTAAAACCCTAAACCCACATAACTATATATTTATAGAACCAAAATCTTAAACTAATTTTAATTCATTTACAAACAGGAAAACAAAACCCTAACATTCATTCCCTAATATGTCGGCGACATCCGTGTAAAATAAAACCCTAAGTTACCATAAAGAAAATACAGTACATTAATTAAATAAAATAATTAAATCAGTATTAAAAATTAATCAAGTAATATATCATTAAAACAATCTCAATTAGCATGTAAATTAAATACACACAAATATTAATTAAATCAATTAAGCAACCACAATTAATCACTTAAGAAAACAAAACAACTAAGTCACATAACTAAATCAATTAATCAAGGAAAAATAAAATAAAATTTCCAATTCTATCCTTTTGAAAATTAGGGGTATTACAGTTACTTCTTTGTTATACTGCACAGATCAAACATAGTGGTGTTGATAAGAGAGATGTGATATATTGTGCAATCACCGATGTGTGGAGAGAGACGGTGGCGGTGGTTGTGGTTGAGGAAAAGTGGTGGTGGTGGCTGTGGTTGTGGAAAAGTGGTGGCGACGGCTATAGTTGAGGAGAAGTGGTGGCAGTATAAGGATGGAGATGATGGAGCAGGTACGTTGTGGTTGAGGAGAGATGGCGGCTGGTGTGGTTGAGGAGATGGTGGTGGTTGGTGTGGTTGGGGAGAAGAGGTGGTGGTTATGGTTGAGGAGATGGTGGCGGTGGGTGGAGAGAGAGAATGAGTGGGATCGCCAGGTTAGAAGAGAAAAAAAAAACCCTAATAATTGGTGGGTGGTGGTTGTGGTGGTGAGTGGAGAGAGGGGGAAATGAGGTGTGGACAGTGATGAAGGTGGGTGATGGTGACTATTCTGGGCGATGGTGGGGGAGGTTATCTGTTTTCTTTTGGGGAAGGTTGTCTTGCTTGTGGGTGATGGTGGTGGCGATTGTGATTGGAGCTTTGAATTTAAGCGTTGCACTATCAACGGCGAGCCGGACTTGATGCAGAAGACGGAGAGAGAAATTAAACACTAGTTCAATAGTTGAATGGGTTAGGTGAAATTGGTAGAAGGGCAAAAATGTCCTTTTAAAATTATGATATTTTACTATTAAAATTAGTTAAATATTGATGGGCAATTTTGTCTTTTCAAACCTTTTAAGGGTTTGTTTAGATCAAAATTTTGTCACGGGTGTCATTGTCCAAAAAAGGTCCAACTTGTAATTGGTTGTCATTATGGCAAACCTCAGAGGGTGTTATTGTAATTAACCCTAAAATCTATTTAGACCTTTAACCAGAACACAACTCAGTCTTCATGTTGAACTTTTCAATTCAAGCCAACATAAAATATGTAAACTTTTTAACCCGAACACAACTCAAAAAGCTTCATCTTGAGCCAACGTAAAAACCCAAACACAACTCAAACAACCTTCATCTTGAGCTTTTCAACTCGAGCTTAACTTACACTCAAAATTTTGAACTTGGGTCATGTTTGGGTTGGAAAAATCTACCTGCAATTTGTGTTTGTGCTAGTTTTAATAGGATAAGGTTTCATTGGTTGTCCAATCTTTATAAAGAAATTTTTTAAAAAAATTATCATATAATATAGAAAACGAAAAATAAAAAATAAAACAAAACAAAAAAACAAAAAAACAAAAAAAAAAAATATATAGGGTTTGTTTGGTAACTATTTTATTATTATTATTATTATTATTATTATTATTTTACTCCAACAAATGGGAAAACCTCGTTAGTTGCTACCCTCTTTCCTTACCCACCCCCACTTCTATGCAAACCATGAGAACCTGCTGACAAAAGATCTCATCTTATCCCATTTGTTCAATGACACGGAAACAATAGCCACAATCTTGGATTAATATATATATATATTTAAATATACACAATTATTTACAAAACAAAGCAGCATCAACATAGATCAACCACATTTTTAAATACACACAATTATACACACCAAGATAAATCGAGTTTGGGAAAGAGGCATACTGACCAGTGTGTCTTAATTAAATTTTCATATAATTTTTTTTTTTTTTTTAAAAAAAAAAAAAAAAACCACATAATTGTAAGTACTCAATCACAATAACTATTCCAAAAGTATTTCTGGAAAATATCAAATTTCTTAGGAGAAACAATTTCATATAGCACACGTAGATCCAAGAGTCTTTTAGAGAAAATTAATGCTAATTAGACTTCATTTTCTGCTAAATAGTTGCCATGAATTTTTACATTGTAAACCATTTAAATAATTGTACCGAAAGCAAATAAGGGCTAGCACTTGAGAATACCATCAAGAAACAAATCATATCAAAGATATTATTGACTCACATAAAACTCTTTAAATTGCTATCATGTCAGAGATCTAGAAGACAGTCTTTTCGCCAATGAGATTTGCTAATCCTATTATGCAGTGGCACATGGTTCATAAGTAGGGGTCAAACAAGTGACCAATTCATGAACAGCTGAGATACTAAAAAGATCTATCCATGTTAGGAAGCAAGTACACCTGCATAATTTAATCAACGTTTTCAACCTCATTAAGTAAGCAAGCCAAACTTGAAGAAACCTTACTTGACTCATATAGATGATCATGAGTAGACTCATTAAGACCGGTGAATATAGCTGTTAGTTCATATTAAAGATATTATCAACTCAAATAACACGACATAAAACTCTTTAAATTACTATCATGTAAGAGAACCAAAGAATAGTCTTTTCGTCAATTAGAGGTGTTAATCCTACTATGTAGTGGCACATTGTTCATAAGTAGGGGTCAAACAAGTGATCAAATCATGAACAGCTCAGGCTGAACTACTTAAAAGATCTATCCATGTTAGGTAGCAAGTACACTTGCATAATTTAATCACCGTTTTCGATCTCATTAAGTAAGCAAGCCAAACATGAAGAAACCTTGCTTGACTCATACAGATGATAATGACTAGACTCGTTAAGACCGGTGAATATGGCTGGTTTACTGAGTTCACTATGCCACTCCTACTCTTTCAACAGGTCTCCACCTTCTCTGCCTTCTTCATTTTGATTTTCCTCTCTGATAAAACATTCCACACAAAAAGATATATAGATTAATAATAAAATCTAGCATCTTGCCTTTTCTTTCTTTTCTTCTTTGATATGATTTGGAATCTCTTTTTTTTTATTTTTATTTTTTTGACAAGTATAACAGATTCCAAATGTTTTAGGATAAAAGAGTGAGCTGAGTTTGCTCTTCTTTTCCGGAATTCCTAAGCTCCAATTCCTTCTCCGTGCAAAACAGGTGATGGTATTACCAAATTTTGCTCTAAATAAAACCAGGCTCTCAGTATAATCATTTGCATAAAATGTAGATCCACGAATAAGATGCATTTTTTGTTCCGTATAGGGATCATAAGCTACCAGATACCCAGTATATAACCGTAACAGAACTTCGCCTTTCCTTGTGAAGCCAACAACACTACCGAATCCTACACTCATATCAATATTGAATACTTTGGTCCAAGAATCTGATACTCCATACTCCTTCATCACCCATATGCAACTAGTATATTTGCTCCAAAGATCTTGAATCACAGAGAGTGATTCTTGAAACTTAGCAACACCAACATTTTCCCGAGAAAAGCTACCAGGGACCATGATCTCGCCAAATCTCTCATCACCCATGTGGAATGACACGATCAAGCAGTAGAAATCTTTCCTTCTCCCATCATAAGCAAGCCAATGTGCAGCCCCATTCAGATAAGCCTGTGGAGCCCACTCGACAGTGGTATAAGGAAGACTCAAATGGCTGATGTTCCGCCATGTGCCTGTGTTCAGACTGAAAATGTCAATCTCTGCCAGAGGTCGAAAATTATTGGGTTTGTAGAGATACACAATCCTGATAACTTTGTAGTCATCATTCAGGGCATCGAAGCCGATCCCAATGCTATGCTTAAAAAGACCGTGTGATTGAAACTTGACCCGTAATGGCGGAAGGGCAATTGTCTTCCGAATGGATGGATTCCATAGATAAAGTACCTCCCGGTAACCGTGTAAATCATCGGAAAGGCACACGAGCCCATTGCAGCTACCGATTATCCTCAAATAAGGGTAGTTGTGTCTCTTCAGTGGAAGCTCAAGCTCTGCATAATCAAAGAACATCGTTTTTCCAATGTAGTGAGTAATTCACTCGATTGGCATCATCAGCAGAGAGGCTTCGAGTTAGAAGAAGGTGGTGGTTGTTGTTGTTGCTGTTCGCATTGAGGTGTGTGTTGATGAAACTAGGGTTTGTGACCAAAGAGTACCATGACTTGCAGACACAAGCGCACCGGATGAGGGTTTTGTTAGGTAGTCTAGTGAGGACGTCGATCAACACATCGTGAGGTGGGGAACCTGACATCTTTTTCCAATTCTTTGCTTGAAAGAAACAGAGATAGATTGATTTGAACAAACAAAACCCTAATAAAACAGAGATGAATTTGAACAAACAAAACCCTAATAACTTCTTCAGAGAGCAGAGCAAGCAATCGATCGCTATAATCTTCTTCCTTTCCCAGTTGCCTAGAAAATGGAATCTGTATGTATAGACGAGAGGTGCATCGGTCAATCGCTTGGCAACCCTGCTAGGGATTTAGTGTCATACACGGTCCACCTCTACTATAACTTATGAAACACAGATACGGATTGGAGCCGCCAATCTTTAAAAAAATAAAAAAAATAAAAACAGAAATGGCAGGATACAACAATAAAATAAAGTTAATTAATATTATATATATATATATATATATATATAAAATAATTTTTGATCAATTTTTTTAAAATTTTATAAATCTAAATGCAATCATTAATAAGGCATAAAATAAGCAACTCTAAGTCACCAGGTAATAATATTTTGTTTTTTTTTTTATAACAATTATATTATGTTATTATTGTTCAAACTTGTTAAAAATGTGTTATGAAGTATGAAATATCGGATATACAATCGAAATACCTAAGTATCATAAAAAGTACGTTAGAAATTAAAAATTATATTTTTAAATTGTATATACATTTAAGAAGTATTGAACACGTATTCGTGGAGTATCAGAATCCGATACGAGTACGTTGCCCTCCCAGAAGTATCCATATATACTTCCTAGACTATAACATACCGTGGATTGCTAAACCAATTAATTATAGGAGTGCACATGGTATGATTTGATTCAGTTTTGAGGATTTTTGGAACCAAATCGCTCCCTACGGTTCCAAAAAATCTGAAACCGAACCAGGCCATTTAAGCCTTGGAACCAAACCAACCCAAACCGTGAAAAAAGGGTTTGGTTCGGTTTGGTTCGGTTCCACCGTTCTAATTGAATTTTATTTCCCTAATTTTTTCCCTTGAATTGTATATGCAACAAAACTAACAATAAAAACATTCACATTCCAGAATCCAAGACTAAAATAGAGACAGAAAATTAAGAAAGGGGAAAGTGGATGAAATAGACCCAAAAGCTAAATACTAGAAATTAAAATAAAGTTAAATCTTGCTGAAACTGAAAAGGATGACAAATTCGTGGTTGAAAACTAAGAAACTTGTTTCATTGTCGATATTGGTTATGCTTGAGGCGCAAACACATCGTGGGACTTAGAGATCTATGAACTGAAAGTGAGAGAGAAAGGGAGAGAGTGTGATAAAAGATGTCACCGACGCAGCTATAAAATATCAACGGCGATGACTGATCGAACTTCCAAGGTTGCGAGAGAGAGATTTATTAACAATTGGATACTGCAGCGAGAGAACTAAGAACTGAATGAGGCGGCGTGAGCAAAGAAAAAAAAACAACAGATAGTGAAGGAATGTTTCTACAGACCCAAAAATCTAAACAATATATGGGAGGAGAAAAAGTAAATAAAAAATATTAAATAGTGATGAATATTGGCTTACATTTGATTGTTGTGCCAAAATTCCTTGGAATGTTAAGAGTAGTATATAGGTATAGCTATATATATATATATATATATATATATATATATATATATATATATATATAATAACACACATATATATATATATACATATTATAATGATTCGGTCTAAGTCTGTCCTGTAGAATCCTAATCCGGGACCGAACAAAAAATTCTTGATTTCTTTATTTTAAAACACTAAGAATTTTTTTTTTTTTTTTTAAAATAATAATAAAATCACACAATTGTAAGTACTCAATCACAATAACTATTCCACATGCATTTCAGGGTAAGATATCAAATTTCTTTGGAGAAACAATTTCATATAGCACACGTAGATCCAAGAGTCTTTTAAGGCAAATTTAATGTTAATTAGAGTTCATTTTTTGCTTAATTGATATCACCACCATTCTGTTCCATAAAAACAGAGTACCCAAATAGGGTTAGGTTTTTTACAATAAAATTTTTAAAACTCCTTTAATAGTAAAATGTTTGAATGGATATGAAAAGTTAATAGTGAAAAGTCTTTTGAGAAAAGACATGTCCTTTTGTGAATAGGCATGTAGTTGTGTATAAATAGTAAGAGTATTCCAACAAATAAACGAGTTCTTACTGCTCTTCTTCAGTTTCTTTTTTAAAACTCATTCCTTCGTTCTTCAACCAAATACTATATTATATATCTGAGTTTATGAGCAACATGACACAAAGACTTGGTGATTCGTCTCTCTGTGAAAGTGCTTATGGAGGATATTGGAGTTGCATCTTGTTTCTTGGAGCCTTTTATAGTCATCATAACCTGCACGTAAGGAGGCTGTAAAGGCTTTAGGACAGCGCAAATTGCATGTCTCTCCATTATACAGGCCAGAAATTTATTTACTCTTCTCTTATTGATTTTATATAATTTTACCGATCTATTACTTTATTATATTATTTTCTTTATACTATATATATTATGCTTTGACTACATTGTGGTATAAATATACAAGTGTTATTTGTTAAACTATTATGATATATGATTGTCAGATTAAATTTATATATAAGAACACAAAATCCCCAATAGTCTAAAACCTTTATATTTTCTCTTTAAACAGAAATGTCTATTTATTCATGCCATTGATTGGTATTGCATGCGTTTTCATGTTTTTTAGCCCGAAATGAAAAGATAAGATGATACATAGAATTCACCTCCAGAAGTAATCTGTCCTTTGTGATTGGAGATCCCATGAATTAGATTCAACGGGTATAAACAATCCATATTGCGTGACTTATTTAGAGTACTTTATCATTAGGAGGTTTCTCATGGAGATCCACTCCTACCCATCCCTATGGCACCAGTGTTGTTTAATGTGATGTTAGGAAGGGCTTTGCCCTGAATGAGCCCAAGGCAGCAAACTCTTTCGAGGTATAGGTCACATGTATCTTTGGAGGACTCACCTAAGTGAGAGATGTCGTGAGGCTATGATTATGAGAATTGGGTTGTTCTCTAGTAACTCTCATGAGAATCAAGATACCAGCGCATGGCTATTAATAGCGCTATACCACTAACCAAGTCTTAAGTCAATACTATATGTGCTACATGTTGAAGTCTAATTAAAGGAGCCGAGCTCAAGATCTAGTCTCTCGGGTTCCTCATATGGAGATAATAACACTAAGTGCAAGTCTTGCACCTATTGCATAGTATTCAGTTACCCTAATTATTTTATTTCTTATATACTTATATTTAAATTTAAATCTCTATATGATTTTGTAAAAAGTTTTAAAACTTGTGGGGATTGTTAGGTTTTTTACAATAAAATTTTTAAAACTTCTTTAATCGTAAAATGTTTGAATGGGTATGAAAAGTTAATAGTGAAAAGTCTTTTGAGAAAAGACATGTTCTTTCGTGAACAGACATGTAGTAGCCTATAAATAGTAAGAGTATTTCAACAAATAAACGAGTTCTTACTTCTCTTCTTCAGTTTCTTTTTTAAAACACATTCCTTCATTCTTCAACCAAATACTATATTATATATATATTCAAATGTCTCTCTGAGAACGTGCTTATGGAAGACATTGGAGTTGTATCTTGAAGACTTTTATAGTCGCCATAACCTGCACATAGGGAGGCTATGTAAAGGCTGTAAAGACTTTTATATTGTTTTATTTATACTATATATATTATGCTTTGATTACATTGTGATATGAATGTACAAGTGTTTTTGTTAAACTATTATGATATGATTGTCAGATTAAATTTATATTTAAGAACACACAAAATCCCCAACAAATAGAAACTTAACGGTTAATTTGCTCCAAAAAAAATATGTTTTAAGCAGAGTTGGGGTGATTAGGAAAACAACACCAACACAAAAATAAAATAAAATAAATAAACGGAAAAAACAAAGGCTCTCAATTTTTCAAATCCATGTTATCCAACCTGAGCCACAATTCATGAGTTTCAATAGTTCCCATGATTTTTTACATTATAAACCATGGATCATTAACTAGTTTATTTTTATTTGCGAAAATGAGATGGTTCAATGATATTATCAAACAAAGTTTTATGAAGACAATAAAGGATATTAACAAATCGTCACAACAAAAAAGAACCTGTCATGGCAAATAATTAAATGTTACTTCCTGGATAAGTTGGCAAATACCAACCAAGCATATCTTGCTGCTCTGAGAATATATATGTTTTTTCATGAATTTAAAATAAAATTCTGTCTCTATTTCTCCAAATAGAAGAGAACCACTCCAAAGAGAATAGAACAAATTCATGGTGTACTTAAAAAAATAAAATAAATAAAATTCATGGTAAATTTATAACAGCAAGATTCCTTTCTGGTTGACTAGAATTTTCATGTTTGTCTTGCACATCGAAGAGAAATGGTTGAAACTTAAAATACGGTTATAAGTGGCATGAAGGTCATGCATTGTTTGTGTTGCAGTCTCATCCCATCAAGTCTAAGGAAGAGCAAAACACTGAGGGGTGAACATCACTGCTCTTCAAATATCGTTCAAGTTAAATAATTTAGGGTGAATTACATTAAACCCTCCTTTTTAGTTTTTTTATTTACCAAAAAACATCCCTCAACAATATAAGTTAAGGAGTGACTTAACAAACTGATGTTAACTAAAAGGAATTGAAATTGACTAAAATACCCATTTATTGTTAAATATCCTAAACAAGGTTGTTCATAGAAATTAACAATTCTATTATTTTTTCTTAATATTTTAAGAGTTTACTAGACTGTTGAGGAGATTAAAAATAATAATAAAATGCAGTCTTTTATTTAATATATATAAATAAATAAAATTTGTCTTTAAAAGCATAGACTAAACAGTTCTTTAAAAGCATGGGCTAAATAGTTCGAGAATAATGTCATGATGCTCATCAATTTTACATCGGTCACAACAAAGGAATAAATTTCTTATAGGAAAGAACTATTTTGATTAAAAAAACATGTAGGCATAAGAAAATGGAAAAACTTTTTGGCATTATTTCCCGTAGTGGTAGAAGATAAAATGAAAATCAATAAAACCAAATAAATGAATACACAATATAATTCTCAAATAAATAAATAAATCACATAAATTTCTAGAAAAGACCCAGATTCACATGGGTTAGAACTCTGAAGGTTGGTTGGAAATACAAATAGACTGTAACTAATATTTAATGATATATATTATAATGATATAATATGTGTGTGTGTGTGTGTGTGTGTGTGTGTGTGTGTGTCATGAGTGAACAAAATAAGCTGAGCAAGAAGAAGAATACGTTTGCTGCAATGGTGGAGGATATCAGGATATGCATCTAAGAGTTGTAATGCAGTACGGTATAGGGGCATTTTCATCTAACATTAGTCAGTTAAGTCACCCTCTCAAATGTTGAGGGGTTTTTTTTTGACACATAAAAAAAAAAAAAAAAAAAAAAAAAAAAAAGTGTGAAAATGGTGGTTTAGTGCAAAATGCAAATAGAAAAAAGGGATTTAATGCAGTTCACCCAATAATTTACTATGAGGATACTTTTTTCATCAATTAGAGGTTCTAATCCTACTATGCAGTGGCACATGGCTCATAAGTAGGGGTCAACCCAGTGACCAACAGCTCAGGTTGAACTATATAAATGATCTATCCATGTTATCAGGTACACCTGCATAATTTAATCAACATTTTCGACCTCATTAAGTAAGCAAGCCAAACATGAAGAAACCTTGCTTGACTCATGTAGATAATAAAGGGTAGACTGTTAAAACCGGTGAATAAGTTTGAACTTCACATTGGCTAGCAAGCAAAACAAGCCAACCCTAACCTTGGCTAGCATTATCTGATCCGAAAGAAAAACTAGCTTTTATTTCCTATAAAATATCACCAACTAGTGACTTTCAAACGCTTGTCACGATATCCAACAACTGAAAATAAAGAAGATCTCTTGAAAACTTAATTCATATAATAAAATGTGGCTCATACCCCAAAACATAATTTAGAAGATAAAATGGAATCAAAGATAACAAATACTTTCAGAATAAACCTTACCAAAATGCGCGCGAATGCATACACACACACACATATATGTATACACACTTCAGCATAACATCTAAAGCCATATTAGCCTAAATGCTCCAAGAGTTCAAAAACATCATCGGTGAGTTAAATGTTTCCGAAAGAAAGTTTTCAACTACATCAAGGCAAAGTATAAGCAACATAAAACAGGGAAAGAGTTCACTATGCCACTCCTAGTCGTTCAGCAGTTCGACCTTCTCTGGCTTCTTCATTTTAATTTTCTACAGCCCTGAAAAAAAGTTCCACACAAACAGAATGATTATTTATAATAATTGTAACTCCTCAATGATATGAATATGAAACTTTAATTGACCAAAAACATTTAAGTTTATGTAATCTACAAGGGGAGTGAAGAGATGGAGGTTACTTAAATGTTAGGTTAAGTATTTATATTCGCATGTAGCAATAACAAATATAAGATGTAAAAGTAAGTAAAATCATGCATCTTTTTTTTTTGTTAAATAAAATCATGCATCTTGCCTCTTCTTTCTTTTCTTCTTTGGTTTTTCTCTTCTTCTTTTTGAAGAGTATAAGCAAAATTAAGATTCCAAATGTTTTGGCATAAAAGAGTGAGCTGAGTTTGCTCTTCTTTTCAGGGATTTCCTAGCTCCATTCCCTTCTCCGTCCAAAATAGGTGAATCTGTACAGGTCCCGGTATTACCAAATTTTGTTCCAAATAAAACCAGGCTCTCAGTATAAGCATCTGCATAAAATGTAGTTCCACTAATACTAAGATACATTTTTCGTTCGGTATTGGAATATAAACTCAACAGAACTTCGCCTTTTCGTTCAGTACTGGAATAGAACCTCAACACAACTTCGCCTTTCTTTGTGAAGCCGACTACACTACGGAGTCCAACGCTAGCATGAATATTGAAAAGTTGTGTCCAAGAATCTGATATGCCATACTCCTTCATCACCCATATGCACCAAGTATCATTGCGCCAATGACAATCAATCAGAGAGAGTGATTCTTGAAACTTAGCAACAAGAACACTCAACCCTGAGTGGTTACTACCAGAAATGCTACCAGGCAACATGATCTCGCCAAATATCTCATCAACCATGTGGAATGACACGATCAAACGGAAGAAATTTTCTCCTCTCTTACCATAAGAGATCCAATGTGCGGCTCCGTTCAGATAAACCGGTAGAGCCCACTGGTTGATAATATGTGGAGGACCCAAATGGCTGATGTTCCGCCATGTGCCTGTGCTCAGACTGAAAATATCAATCTCTGCCGGAGGTTGAAAATTATTGGTTTTGTGGAGATACACAATCCTGATAACCTTGTAGTCATCAGTCTGGGCATTGTAGCCGATCCCAATGGTATGCACAAAAGCTCCGTGTGATTGAAAATTGACCCGTAATGGTGGAAGGGCAATTGTCTTCCTAATCGATGGATTCCATAGATAAAGCACATAATCATGGGAAAGGCACACGAGCCCATTGCAGCTACCCATTATCCTCAAATAGTGGTTGTTGTCTGTCTTCAGTGGAAGCTCAAGCTTTGCATAATCACACAACACTTCGTTTTCGCAACGAAGTAGTGAGTAATTCACTTGATTGGCATCATCACCATAGACGCTTCGAATTAAAACAAGGTCGTTGCTGTTGTTGCTGCTCACATTGAGGTGTGTGGTGATGAAACTAGGGTTTGTGACCAAAGAGTACCATGACTTGCAGACACAAGCGCACCGGATGAGGGTTTTGATAGGTAGTCTAGTGAGGACGTCGATCAAGACATCGTGAGGTAGGGAACCTGACATCTTCTTCCAATTTTTCGCTAGAAACAAAGAGAGAGAGATTGATTTGAACAAACAAAACCCTAATAAAACAGAGGTGAATTTGAACAAACAACCCCTAATAAAACAGAACCCCAAGCAATCGATCGCTATAATCTTCTTCCTTTCGCCGTTGCCCAGAAGATGGAATCTGTATGTATAGAGGAAAGGTGCATTGTTCAATTGCTTCGCAATCCTGGTAGGGTTTTAGTGTCATCCACATCTGCTATAACCTAGGAAGCACAAGATATGGATACGTCTCAAAAAAAACCTCTGCCATATCGCGGCTCAATGTAAATCGGGCCTTAGGCGACAAATAAAAAGTGACATTTTCATACCATAATATGCAATATATTAATTATTATTTAATAATTTATTAAAAATTACCCTTCTTGGTTTTTGAGATGCAATATAACCTGATTAAAGTAAAAGAGAAATGAGATATTTTACGAGACAAATAAATAAAATATTAATGAGACATTTTAGGAGATAAATAATTTCTCTCTTAGTTAAAGTTTAATGAAAGGCATGAATGATAATAAGGAGATAGAAAACAAAAAAAGAAGAGTTATTTTAGGAGATAAATTTTTTAGAATTAGTGTTGAATAATGAAACAATTACAATATATCATATATTGGGCAATTATAATATTTTGGAGCCTTTTTATTGGTTGGGGCCTTAAGCGGCCGCCTAACTCGCCCAAGGGTCGAGCTGCCCCTACTAGGAAGCACACGATATGGATGCGTCTAAAAAAACCAAAAAAAGGCAAAAGTGTAAATACTCTCTTGAGGTTTACTTCATCGAGCAAAATACATCCTTGAAGTGAAAAAAGTAAGCAACTTAGTCATAGTAGTTCTGAAATGGAGCACTTTGTCCCCTGCAGACGCTGAAATCCTCTTCCCGGTGATATGGTGACGCACGTGACTCAGACTTTTTAACTAATTCCAAAATTATCCTTCAATATAACGATTATACCCCTCCCCTAAAAAAAAAAAAAAAAAAGGTTTTTGCATCCAAACTTTATATCAAACCCATTTGCAACTAATCTATTCCCTCCTCCCTTCAAAACTTTCCTCACGAATCTGTGCCAAAAAGGGGGAAAGTATAATATTTGGAAAGAATTAAATTATCTAAATAAATAATTAAGGTGCATAAATAATTGAAGAATATATATTACAAATCATCTCAAATTTTTAATTACAATAAATTAAAAATAGTAGGTGAGACCGTAAGAGTCGCAATGATATTAAGAACAATTTTTTTTTTTTTTTTTTTCATTTTCTATTTTGGGGCATTAATAGAGACTAAAAGAAAAAAAGTATAATATTTGAAAAGAATTAAATTCTCTGGATAATCAATTAAATTGAATAAATAATTAGATAATATATAAGATAAATCATCTTAAATTTTAATTGCAATAAATTAAAAATAGTAGGTGATAGTCACAAAGATATAAACAAATTTTTATTTTTTATTTTTATTTTTATTTATTAAACAAAGATGCAGAAATACACCGTATCTAATGCAATTGCTTTGCTGAGCTTAATTTTAAACAAGTTTTTATTATTTTTAAAAACAAAAACAAAAGCAAACTAGCATAACTATAACATTGATAATTTTCTTTTTTTAATTTTTTCTTTAATTTTCTTTCCATTTAAGAAAAAATCAAATTAGCATAACTATTAAGAAAAAGGGTTCAGTGCCAAAAAAAAAAAAAAAAACCCCTCATATATAGAGTTTGTACAGAACTAGACCCTACTTTTTCAAAATATGCATGTTAGTCCATAAAATTCAAAAAAAAAATACAAATAAGCCATGACCACTTTTTGGTCAAAATTGACATTAAATAAATTTTAAAACCCTAATTAACCCTTTTCTATTCCTATTCTACCCTTTTCTAAGGCACTGCTTCTCTCTTGCGCCCCTCACCACTGTGCTTCTATCTGATTCAAAAACACAAATGGATGATTCATTTAAATCCATTCCGAAATTGTCAGCATGCACATCATGAACAAATAATCAATCAACCACACGCCCTTTGTTCAGGTGATAAAGTGTAATATGTTACCAGCAAATCCAATCAAAATAACAACAAATTCAATTTCCTCATGTGAATACTCTCTAAATAACAGGCTGATTGCATAATTATTGAAAAATACAAATCCAAATTCATTGCTTTCCAGTAGTTAAAGAAAACATAATCCACAGCTTAATGGTCAAATTTAGCGAATAAATTATTTATAACAGAATTAAGAAGTGTATATTCATTATTCACCACTTTTTTCTTTGTAAGTTCTTGTAACTGGAAATTTCTTTCAAGTCCACAATAATCCTTGAATCTGTAACTGCAAGGCACGCCTGTTTCCTCCTTTATCGTCAAAAGCTTTATCTCATAATTCCACATGGTTTTTCGAAAATCCTCGAAGCTCATTTCAGCAATTCCTCGAAATCCCTATCGAATTCCTCCTCTTCCCACAAATTGGCACCAAAAATTTGCTCGGGTACATAAAGCTTCCCTCTGTACTACCCCAAAATATCTTCAAATACACAACATCAGACTTCATTCCATTCTCGTGTCGAACCTTATTGCTCTTCTTCTTCTTAGAATCCAATCTCTTCAGAATTTCAAAAACCCCAAAAATCAAAACTTGTCTTCACGTCCTCTTTTTCCAAATATTAGGTCGCCGGTAGGAACCTAGAAAATTTTAGAGGTCAACTCCGGCGAGATTACAGAGCTTCGGCGACCATGGCTTAGCAATCAGTTCAGGCTATCATTGTGAACAGCTCCTTTCGGGCGTGTTTCAGTTCTATCTCCGGTGAACACCATTGAAAACCCAAAACGAGTGAAGAATTTCAGTATACAGTCCGGCGAGCTTCCCTTTGTATCAGTCCGGTGATGATCCTCTTCCTTTTTGTGGTTGCGACTTTAGGCCGTGCTTTGGACACTGTGAATCAAAGGGAATGTCTAAAATAGTAATTTTAGATTGCCTGATTTTTTTAATATTATTTTATTTTATTGACAAAATGGTATTAATATCTTTTTGTGCTTAATTGCACCAAATTAAAAGTACAGGGGGTTTTATACACATGAACTTTTAGTGAGTTTTTTTGTTTTTGTTTTTTTTTTTTTTTTTTTTGACACTTTACCTTAAGAAAAAATCAAATCAACACAATATTTCTCCTTTGCCACCGCCAAGTTCACCGCGCGCCGCCGCGTCCCTCCATCTCCCTCATCCTCTACCACACCCTCAAACAACCCCTCAATTACCACAACCTCATCGGGATCCCTAACGCCGGCGAACTACTAAGTTTTTGTCTCCAAGAACATCAATGGAGAGATAACCTTTGCCGAGACTAAGAAGCCGACCGCCGAACGGCGGCCGGATCTGAATCTTCGATTTGTTCACTCTAGAAACTTTTGGCCTTTCACCTTTTTGATGAAGGAAGCCGTCACCAGATCAGTTCGATCTCTGTACATACATATATATCACCAACACCACTTCTACCACCATAATCATCACCCAATCCGACCCACAACGAACCTAATTGAACCAAGCGAAACAATAAATCAAACCCAATTCACACACACACACACATATATATACAGTATCTCTCAAATCCCCAATCCGAAGCCCTATAATCATATGTTCCTTCACAACTCTTGAACACCCACAGTAAAACTCAAAATTCAAATCCCAAATTGTTGATATTTTTCATCAATTTTCTTGGTTGTTTCTTGTTTCTTTCCTTTATTTTTTCATTTTCTCTCTGGGTTAGAGAACGACGGCAGTGGTGTGTTCATGACAGCAGCTGTTTGCCAACCGTGTGATTCACGGCGACTAATTCAAGGCACCATGGTTGACGACAACCGCAATGGTATGGATCACGGTAACAAGTTTAGGACGCCATGGTTAACGACGACGGCGGCGGTGATCTAACAATGACAATGGAGTTTCGTGACAATATAGAGAAAGAATACCGGTTGAGAGAGAGAAAGTACGATGGAGAGAGAATGTGGGTTTGGGGTTTTATTGAAAATTACATTAATATACCTGATTTTAATGAGGTGGCATGGTCTAATAAGGTTATATTTGTAAAAAAAAATGGGATGAAAATTTAATCTCTAAACCTAAACTATTGTAACTAACCAACACTTAGTCAAACATGCCTTTAAAACTACTAAGGGTATATACGACACTTTGCATTTTCATGTTTTTTATTTTTTCTAAAATGATAATTATAGAGGGCATATATGTAATTGCACTTATACATATCACCGAAAAGAGTAATCCAGCGTCAACAGGGGCAAAGTGCTCCATTTCAGAACTATTATGACTAAGGTGCTCATTTTTTCACTTTAGGGGGTATTTTGCTTGATGAAGTAAACCTCGGGGCGATATTTTACACTTTTGCCAAAAAAAAAAAACTACAGCAAGATACAAAAAAAAAAAAAAAAAAAAAAAAAAAAAAAAAGAGTTAATTAATTAATTATATATATAGATATATATATAAAAATTCTTTATCAATTTTTTTAAAAATAATAAATTTAAAAGCTATATAGCACGGACACAGACATAGACATAGACACGACACGAATACGTTGACACGTCAAAATTTTTAAAAATAGGACGCGAATACGGCATGGGCACAACTACATATAAATATAAATATGAATTCGAAAAAGAAATTATGTCATTATTGTAATGATTTTTATATCATATATACCAATATTTCACTACATTGTCATGATACTAGTATTTATATTATTTTCAAGATTAGTGGGTAAACTTGTATTAAAAATATCCGAGAAGTGTCGGAAAAGTGTCCAGAAAGTATTAGCAAAGTGTCTGGGAAGTAAGCCCCCGGGGGCTTGGTTGAGTTGGTAAGGTGTTGGTCTGGACACCCATAGGTCCACAGTTCGAGCCTTGTCACCTCTATTATTACCTTCGACTTACCTGCTTACACTGTGGTGCCGACGTAGGCAG